TGTGTGTGTGTGTGTGTGTGTGTGTGTTGGATGACTCCTGCTTCTGTATCAAAAAGCTACAGCTTGTTATTTTACACAAGGCCGAGCACCGCTGCTGATGTGTAACCTCTGCATCTTGTGCTTTCTGTGCTTGTACGAGTGTGTGTCTGTGTGTGTGTGTGTCCATCATCTAGCCAATGCTGTGTGTGCACTTTCACCGTATCTATACCTTTAGACTTGCTGCTGCGTTTCGATGCTTATAAAATAATGATAACTTTATTTGTATAGCACTAATCTAAACATGGTTACAAATTGCTTCGCAAAATCCATGTCAAAAAATGAATGAACTATAATAAAAGATAATGAATTTAATTTTAAGACACAAATCAGGTCCAGACCTTAAGATGTAGAGAGAAACCAACAGTGCCCAACAATGAGCGAACACTTCCTCATTGATTGAACAGTTGTGTAACCATCACATTTAAGCTCCATCAGACTGGTTGTTATAATGAAAATCATAATCATCAGCTGTACCTTTGTGTCATCACGTGTTTCGGCCTTTTAATCGTAATAACACTAAAAGCCGAGGGTACGCTGAGGCTGAAGGTAAATCTGATTGGCTACTGGCTGTGCGTGCATGTCACAGTGAGTATTCCCCTCGGCTGACGTCTGCCATTAGTTCACATAATTAGGTTTGTAAGGGCTGTGACTCCCATTGACTGTCGATTACCGACCACGGCATCTGTGCATGTGGGCGTGTATGTGTCGAGGGCCCCGTGGTCATGCGACAGAGTCCATTAATTCCAAGTGGGAAGGTTGGCGACCTCCAAGTCATCAACACGGAAACCAATCAACAGACTACTGCTCAAGGTCGCCATGGTGACACAGCTGACGGGAGGATGTGGAAACGGGTGTGATTATTGCATATGATTGGGCCGTGGGTAGAAAGTGAGTTGCCAACATGTGTAAATAAGAAAATTGAAAAGGAAAAGTGATTGGATATTTTGAGGCGCAGCTTCAGGAGGAGGATATGAGAGTGAGGTTTTTGGAATCTCAGCATGTTTGTGGAATACATCTTCAAATCCCTGTCAATCTTTTAGTGGTCTTCGACTTAAAAATATTTGTATCAACATATAGATATTGCTGCAGATATTGAACACGTTGGACTTGTAGCACACTATCAACGAGACTCTTAGCAGCAGTGCAACAATGTGTTGGTTCAACTCTTAAGCTTGACCATTAAAAGATAAAGAAAGTGAATTCCTGAATAAACGTCAAACTGCAGAATCCCGTCTCACAGTGCGGAGCGGCTGTTTACTCTCCTCTGATGCTGAATCAGCGTGTTAGCGTTTCATCAGTCCGTCTTCAGCCGCTGCTTCTTTTCACCAACACTCATACATCATCTTCAAGAAGTTTAACTGTCTCATGCATTCGTCTTTCAATCCCACCTGCAATATATTCTTTTCACAAAGACTTACATGGAGCTAAAGCATATTTTGTAGACATGTATATCGAGTTCTCACAGACCATATTGTAGTTTTACATGATTTCTTTAAAGAGTGCATGTCTCATTTTTTAAGTTGGTGCAGCTAAAACCACCAGGACCAGATATTTGTTCTTTGAAATAGTTTTAATGATTTATTCACACCACGTTACTGCAACTTTCATCTTTCATCATTTCACAAAAGAAAAAAGGGAATCAAGGCGCTCCGACTTTTTCAGGCAGGTCTCGTGTGCTCGTACAAGCACATCACCCAGGACGGCTCCGACACCGGAATAAAACTCTCCACGGATGAAAGTGTGCAGTCAGGTAAAACTGATGCCCAAGGAAAAGCTGACTGAAGCAGACATCCAGATCACAGATAAGCCTACATGCACACTTTACATGCTTGCAAACACCGATACGCCCTGCAGTGGCGGCAGATAAAATCATGAATGAGTGCCCACGCCGCGATTCAATTAATGTGAGACTTTGACACCTGACCCTCAAGTCTTGCTGGCTTTTTTTTTTTTTTAAAGATAAAGGTTGATGTTTGATACACTCTTCACAAGAGCCTTTTCTCCTCCTCACACACATCCAAACACATTTTTTTAACAGATCCACTAACAGAATTCTCAGTGAAGTAAAATAGTAAGTTTTTATTGCTGAAGAACATAAACTAGAGTCTGGGGTTTTACTGCCGAGCAATGATTGGCTGAAACATAAATCAGAAAGCATAAAATGAGCGACAGATCTCCAGGGTCCAGTTGTCGAGAAGTAATCTGATTGGATTTCCGGCGGTCGGACGGGATCAAATCTTGAAAATGGGATTGTGAAATTGGATTGCATTGTCCAATTCAGTCTTGGTTATGAGTGGGATTTAATTTACAATATGTGATTTAGTAATTTAGTAGAATCCTAATAAAATGGTCATCCTGATCCCAGCTGAAAGTCAGATTCAGGGAGGATTTCAGGAAGAAACTGTAATACAACCTGAATATCTGAGAAAACTGAAGTAATCTGATGGATTTTCGGTGGTCAGACGGGATCAAATCTTGAAAATGGGATTCTGAAATTGGATTGCATCACCTAATCCAGTCTTGGTTATGATCTGGATTACACAGAAGGTGATTTAGTAGGATTTAGTAGAATCCTAATAAAATGATCATCCTGATCTCAGCTGAAAGGTGGACTCAGGGAGGGTTTCAGGAGGAAACTGTAACAAAAAAAAAAACAACTGAATGTTAGTTAATGTAGCGCTTAATGTCTCCTGAGCTCGGTCGGGTTTGATCAGAATTGGGCTCCGAGCTGCACTCTAATCGGGTTACATACTTGCACACAAAACACATGCACACATAGGAGCACATACACAAGGGGCCAATCATGGATGCCCGTCCACATAAACACACACTGCGTCACGTAGGCTCATCGAAACATCCAGTCCACAAGTGAAAATCATTGGTTGTGACAGGAGCTCTGAGCCTCAGGTACAAAGAGGAACTAAAGTGCAACATGTTGTTGTTGTTACATTATCGGCTGTTCTTTTTTCAATCTTCTTTCAAAGGAATGATACCAACATGTTGTCTTTCTTTCTCTGTCTTTTCTTTATCACCACTTCTCTCTTTTTTCATCAGGCTTAAATATAAAGGACTTTCTATCCATCAATCTATCAATCTACACTAGTCTTAAATGGTGGCCAATATTTAAAGAAAATACATCTTGCACAAAGCAGGCTGTATAATCACCAATCTGTTTTATTATTTAATTTCTTTCTATTGTCCATTTATTTTTAAGTTGTGTGTTATTTTAGCTCCATGTGCATTGGAGGTCAAATATAATAAACCTTTTAAACTACATCTTGAGCCACTTGAGCGTCCCCGTCTTAGCCCTCACTCCTCCCTCATATTGTCTCATTTGTATTCCTATGATTACTTGTTCTCACTCCCATTGACGTGTTCTCGGCCAAAATTAGATTATTCACTCAGTCACGGAAAAACTAATCCGCCATAATGTTTTATTATATTTCCCCATTAACGTGGCAAATAAAAGGAAGCTGGAAGTATAAACGACATCAGTGCTTACATTTAAATAGTTACGACGGGCTAGCACTCTTCCAAGAGCTATTTGGGAGGCTATTTGTAATATTGTATAATTTATGCAGCTGTTATTATGGACGAGTGTAGTGTTGCACATTTGGTTTATTGGGTC